GGCCACTTGCAAGCTTTCAAGACCCCAGGCACTACCCATCAAACTAGGAGGCAGAACAGAGGCATTTATGTTATTAAGCCAATTAATTGGGCTGTCCCATTAAACCATGAAGCTAAACCTCCAAACCAAGCGACCAAATCCCAAGCGGTTGTCAGCTGTGCGTAAGCAGTCTGAGGGACAATTCTGATGCATGATGTACCTGGTTCTTCAGAGGGTGCCCAGAAGGAATGAGCCCCAACTGCACACAAGTTATCCTGCTCATTAACCTCTTGTTGGTGTTTCCCTCTTCCCCACTTCCTCGCCAGTGCTTCTGGACTTACCAACAACAACAGATCATGTGTCCCAAAGATGGTCACAATGTTATCTCCCAACCCACAATATTCCCTTGCTACTCCTCACTGGTGTCATAGTGCCTACGGCATTTATTTGACGGCTAACCAGAAGGCTGGCAGTTCAAACCCACCAGCCACTCTGCAGAAGAAAGACTGGGCAATCTACTTCTGTAAAGATTTACCACCTTGGAAATCCAAAGGGGGTTGCTATGAGTCGGATTCGACTTGAGGCAGTGGGTTTGGTTTGGTTATTCTTCTCATCAGGAGATAGAATCTAGTTCCCTTCCCTTGAACCTGGGAGGGCTTGTGACAGCTTCTGCAAATAGAATGTGTCTGAAATCTACCACAAAGATTGGAAAAGGTCATGAAGCTTCTGCCAGGTTCTTCTGGGACACTCACTCCTGGAACCCCACTGCCATGCTCTGAGGAAGCCCAGACTATATGGAGAGGTCACATGCAGGTGCTCGGCTGACAGCCTAGCTGAGGGCCCAGCTGGCACGGAGCGCGATCCACCAGAAGGATAAGTGAAAGCACTTCCAGGTGATTCCAGGCCCAGCCAGCAAGTCACCCCCAGCTGCTGAGTCACCTCCCACCGACAGCCGAGACCCTGGCAAGAAGAGACATGCAGCCCCCACCAGGCCCCGCCTGAATTCTTGACCCATGGAATCCGAGAAGATAATAAAATGGTCATTTCATGCTACTAAATTTTGCGGTGTTCATTTTGTAGCAATAGTAACTAGAACATCTCCCAAATAAACCACTTGCACACAAGTCCTTGTCTCAAGGTCTAGTATTGGGGAAAACTCAAATTAAGACAAAAGGATATTGGGTAGATCCCAGAATTCCTCCAGTTTACAGTGTCCAGGATTACATTACTCATACTCCTTGCCGTCAAGTCAGATCCAACTCATAGCGACCCCTCCTTGGGTTTCTGAGGCAGTATCACTACAGAAATGGATTACCCAACCTTCCTTCCGAGGAGTGGCTGGTGGGGTTGAACTGCCAGCCTTCGGGTTAGCAGTCAAATGCCTTAGGCACATAAGCCCTAGTGAAAGGCATCCCATTTTAATTATCCCAGCAAGAGGCTTAAAAAATCTAAGTCTCATTGGTTTGGGAATAGACCAATCCCTTCCCTATGGCCAACAGAATGGAACTGCTGATTGGCTAGGCCTGGTCAGGTGCCCTTCCTTGGGTGTGAGATCTGCCACATTGACCAGAGAGTCCTGAGAGTAGGGGAAGGGAAGTTCCCCAAGGAAAACTGGATTTTAGCTACCAGGCCTTGCCAGTTCTGTTCAGTCATCAAGGACCATGCACTTCAAGGAAGCATAAGCTCTCCTGAGCCCAGAAGTGAGTGCCAATCATGGTCATTCTACTCCCTTTGCCAGGGATTGGTTTAGGCATGGGCATGTGCTATAATTCTTACCAATGAGATAAGGTTCCAGGGAGATTTTAGGAAAGGTTTCTTCACCTTAGAAAGAGGAACAAATGTATATCTTATCTACCAGCTTTGAACGCTGATGTGTAGCAAGCAGGACCTGAGGTTTGGCAGCCATTTTGGGCCCATGAGGGGCAAGCCTGAGGCCAAAAGCCAGAACCTGTAGAACAGAGATATAAAAAGACGGAAGGAGCCTGGATCCTTGAAGACGTTGTTGAACTGGCTCTTTACCAACCTTGGGTATACCTACATTCAAACATCATATGTGAGGAAACAAATATTCTTAATATTTAAGCCATTAAGAGTTGAGTCAAATGTATCTTGACATACCAAAATTGGTATCAGGAGCACTGGGCATACCGTTCTCCTGCCTCTTCCAACTTCCTGTGGGGAGGAAGTGGTTCTACAAAAGTCAAGTATGCTCTTGATGAAATTTCCGAAGAGTCTGCACCAATAATTTTGGGGCTAAGATGTGGATATCAATTCTACTCCCTGAAACCAAGTGTGACTTCAGTGCTCACAAGGATTTTGGAACCGTGGAAAGGCAAGGTTCAAGTCAAATGTATAATGGGCTCAGTGTTCTAAGGTTCTGCGAGGGACTGAGAGCCTACCACGGGTAATCTTCAACAGCAACATGGAGTGTCACGCAATTTGTGTTTCTGTATTAGTAAGGGCTCTCATATTCACAGAGCACTTACTGTGTGCATCTTCTCAATTTTCACTCACAACAACTTTGAGTACTGGGTAGTATTATTCCATTTTACAAACCAGATAACTGGGGCTAAGTTGCTATGAGTCGGATCCGACTCGACGGCACATAACAACAACAACAACAACTGACCTAAGGTCGTGTGGCCAAGCTGCCTCCCTAGTGTACACCATCCCTAGTTTACTCCAACTGCCAGGGTCTCCATACATGTGCCAACCAAACCAGACATGCCTGTCTTCAACCTGGGGCTGTCCCACCTCCCTGCTTTTGTCCAGCTGCTCCTTTGACTAGTATGAATGTCCTTTATATCTCCCTTTTATTCAGCACTCTGTGCCGGCTATCTTTCTATACACTGTCTGTGTTTATTCTCATTTAGTGTCCCCAGCAACCCTATGAGGTAGCTGTTTTTATTAGTCTCCCTTTCACCAGAGAAGAAACTGAGGCCCAGAGAAGTTGCATATTCCTCGCAGGTCACACAGCTAGTAAGAAGGGGA